ACTTGAAATCAGCCAAATCAAAGCTACTACATACCAAAATCATAAATAGTAATTATATTTCAGGAGGTGCAAATTAGTTGTGTTCTCTACTGGACTGAAGCCAGTCAAGTCACAACTAATACATAGCAACTTGAGGTATCTTCCCGGTCAGCTACATCATAATCATCAAATGGAGGAAAAAGTCAAACACCGGACAACCCGCCTGGCTGGAGAGTCATCTCCAAACAAGGGACACCGAGGAGCCGAGCAGATGGGCGCTCACCTTGGTAACATCCTTCGCGATCTGGCGATGATGCCTCATGCCCTCCCCATCCCGCCATAAACAAGCTGCACACACAAAAGAAAATCAAGAATCTCTTTATCCCTTGAATCATGGACAAATCAAAGAACAGAGGCCGCCAATAGGCAAGAAATTGAACAACAAATAAATGGGGGAGAAGAACGGCATACCTTAAACCAAGCCCTCCACAGCAGCGGCACCGTTGCAAGAACAGCAGCGACGCGTACGCAAAGCGAGCAAGAGGGGGCATGTAGTCCTCCACGACCAGCACCGCATGCCTGGCGTCCGTCCTCGCGCCTCCCACTCTTCCCCTCCCTCTCCTCGCTCTCCTCACGCCCCGCACAACTGCAGCGCCGGTGACCAAGAGAGGCCGCGTGAGGACGAGGGGCGGGAATGGTGGAGCCCGACATCACCATCACAGGCCGATATGCTGCCGCACCTCCCTCACCTCTCCCGCCATCGCCCTTTGCCTACAGGTCGTCGTCACCGCCGGAGAAGCCTTAGATCCAGCGGGATCGATTCAGGATAGGAGTGGAGCATGGGTGGATGGGGAGGACGGCGGAGCAGCAGAGAGAGAGGAGGAAGAGAAGGAGAGGCAGCGGCGGCTAGGAGGGAAGTCGAGGAGGAGGGTGGGTTGCGTGCGGGTGGGAAGGGCGCGGCGGCGGCGCTGGCAGGAGAGGAGGCTAGAGTAGCAGGGGGAGGAAGCGAGGGAGGCGGCTGCGGGATTGGCGAGGGAGGCGGCTGCGGGATTGGTCTAGGGTTTCTTTGACCGAGATCGCGATTGGCGAGCGCGCGACCAGACTTCGCATACCAAAAGGTGAAGAAAACTCATTTCGATCTCGCGACCCCACGGCTAACGAGCCCCACCAGTCATTCTCTCGTGAAGCAGATGTAAAAGTGAAAAAAAGCGGACGGCTGACCAGCCGCCAGCAGCCAAAAAAATGCTGTAGCTGCTCGATCGGGTGGTCAAAAGTGACGAGCGCGAGCGATGCCCTCAGCTATGCGGGTAGTGTAGGAGGCTTTATATGTTAGATGATAGAGGAGCCAACTGAGCTCGTCGTCGCTCCCGCTGGTGTGAGACCAAAGGGGATGGGGATGGAAATCTCAGAGTGGGGTAGCGACCTTTGCTCCGCACCTCAGCAGAAAGTGCTAAGCCGTAAGAGCAACTCTAGCAGACCCCGCATTTTGTCCACCTGCAAAATGTGTCTGCAGGTCGCACGGAGGCAGTTATGCAGGCTGAAATTTGCGACGGCAGACTAGAAACTGCAAACAAACACCTAAATTTTTTAAAAAGTTGTTTCGCGCGAGAAATTTAAGCAACAGCTCGCCGGAGCTCACTCGCATAAATGGTTCTTCTTCGCATATAAGTTCATACAAGCCACATACATACATAAAGCTTAGATATGGTAGACAGGCCTACGCTACCGCACCACTGCGACAAAATTGAGCTCACCGGAGCTCCTGCGATATCTGCCCATCGGCGGCGATCAGTCGGAGTCGGAGGAGTCGGAGTCGAGGTCGACGAAGAGTTTCGCCTGCTCCTCCTTCATTACGCGCAGGTCGGCCTCCTTCGATGCGTGCGCCTGCGATGCCGTGAGGCCCGTCTCGAGGAAGAGCCGCTCGTACTCGAGCTCGCGCCGGATGCGTTGTTCCATCTCCTCCTGATCTCTCGCCGACCGCTCGAGGACGACGCGCTCGAGGAGCTCCTCCTGCCCCGGTGGGAGGTAGTCCTCGGGTCCGATGACGCCTCGGCACGGCGGTGCATCGGGCACGGCCTCCTCTGGCTCCCTCTTCACCGGAACGAGCCGCGAGCTCGATGCGCCCGCGGATGAGCACCCCGCGGACCCGTGGCCAGATGAGCTCCCCGCGGACCAGTTGCCGGAGGAGACGCGGCGGCGACGGGCGCGCTCGAGCTCGAACTCGTCAAGCTCCCGCCGGTCGAATGCCGGCGGCGGCCAGGCACCCTGGTCGAGCCACCGACGCGCCCCCCGCTTGCCCGCGGCGTCAGATCTGGCGCGGCGGCGGCGCTCCGCCTCATCCCCCGAGTCGGCCATGGCGGTTCAAGGCTCGCCGGCGGCGAGAAATCGAGCGGCGCGGTGAGGAATTGGAGGGGAACGCGGCGGCGGGAAGATAGGGTTTCAACTCGCATCTGCATCGCAAACCCGCAGTTATAGTGGCTCGGGGGTTGCATTTGCGGGCTGCGGCAAAAAAATTTACGGACCGGACACCGATGCGAGCTTTGGTCTGGCCAGAAAAATGGGTCGAGCCCGTATAATCGCCGGAATTATGCGGATTTGTACCGGATGCAAAGTCTGCTAGAGTTGCTCTAAAATTTTCAAAGAAGGTTGCGTGGGGGCCTGGGGCCTGGCTTTCGCCAATAATGCTACAACTACCTATAAGTTATTAACGTAAACTTACTTTCTTCCCTCCCTCAACTAATCACGCTCCCTGGTTTTAATGGGGTGAAGCCCACGTGAGTTTTTCTTTCAATTAAAATGTGCCAAGCCAACATGCACGTAAAATTACGTTAGATGTTTACGTAGGTGTAGCAAAGATCCGCTTTCACTGGATTGTCTGCCATTATATGCACATTGTTAAAATACGTTGTCTAGCCTTTTTCATCAGTTTGTACTTTTGAGAAACTTGACTAGCGCATCAGTTTAATATGGTATCAGAGTCACAAGGCCTTGGGATCAAATCCAGGCCAACGCATTATTTAATAAAAAAAATAGTTGCGATCTAATCTCGATCCCAGATCTAAGGTCTTCCTATACGTCCACAGCACAGACGTGAGGGGGGGTATTAAAATATGTTGCTTTTGTACTTTTGAGAAATTTGGCTAGCACATCAGTTTAATACAGATGTAGGCGAAGGCCTCAGTCCGAGCCTTCGAGGATTCCGGGGATGAGATTTTGCTTCGGCCGCCACATAAAATGTTGCTGCTGCACCCACATTCATGGGCGCACACGGCATGCATTTTCCCGACTGATGTTAGTACTTTTTTTAATTGAACTGCTGTTAGTACTTAGGACAACAATGTACAGCGATGCGAATCAACCTGTGGTTGAGTTGGTTAGGTGGATAGTGGTATCCCCAACTCATCAGGGTTCAAATCCTGGTGCTCGCATTATTCCTGAATTTATTTCAGAATTTCCGGCGATGCGCTTTCAGTGGGAGGAGACGTTCCCGTCGACGACAAGGCGCCTACGGTGACTTCGTAAATCTCAAGATGATATGCCGGCTCAGTCTCTCGGAGGTGCTCATAGGGGTAAGATGTGTGTGTGTGTGCGTTCATAGGGGTGAGTGTATGCGCGTGTATATGAGCGCTTGTGTCTGTACTGATGCTAAAAAAACAATGTACAGCGATCAAGATTCTCATAAAAGGAAAAAAACAATGTACATCGATACCAAATTGACCGCTCACGCGCTTGAATGTTGACCTTGCCGATACTATTCAAGGATACATCTACCTCTCTAAGGGCCAGTTCTTTCGCCCAGGATTCTCGAGAATCAAGATTTTGGAAAACTATGGACCACCGAATCTGCTGCGTATAGAATTTGCCGTTCAATTCCTTTTTGAGATTGTAGTATGAGGTTATTATGGTATAAGTTGTATGCTGAAATGCTTGTAATGTACTTAGACTGAAATTGTTTGCTGAATTGCTAACACTTTGTTGTTTCGAACAGTTTTTCGACGAATATGAGCACAAACAATATTTACAGATATCGTAAAGCACCAAATATTACAATTTAAAAGGTTGCAAAGTTTCCTTTATTACAAAAGGGGTCAACTACAAATAGAAGGACTAATCTCAAAATACGAAACCGATGACACAATACCCACTATGTACCACATAAATGTTCATACTAAGCGAGCAAAACTTTTAAATTTATCTAAAGTTCAAAAACACTAGAACAAACATCCTTGCACATTTTGCCACATACATACCTGATAAACCACAGGTGTATTGAAACTATCATAGCCTTTTACATAAGTATGAGTGTCGAATCCAATGAATAGAAAAAGGAATTGGTTGATAGAAACTAGCAAAAGTTCACTTTAAAGCTGCAAAGGATGTGCTTGAAAGCAGGCGATCCATGACAAGTCATCCGCCATCGCACGGCTGGCAACCTCCAGGTTCATGACCACCAGATCCCACTTCGGTGATGCAGAATTCCCCTTGCGCTGCTGAGGAATGGCCACGATGGCCTCCAACATGCGCATCCCCCTTTACAACTCTAGATCATGGTCCACCCGATCACGCTGAATCAAAAGATGTAACCGGAGGATACTCATCCTCACAAATCTCTCCTGCCGCCACTAAATTGTCTTCCGTCTTCACTTCCCCTCAAACAGAGCCGAACACCCGATCCGTCCTACCCCCTAATTAGATACATCTAATATGATATAAATATGGCATGGAGTGGTCAGTGGTACAAGTCTACAAGATATCCTGAGCGTCTAATTTTATGATGAAGTGATGTATATGCTTTATAAGCAAAGTATTTACTCAGATTTCTGTAGTGTGATGAGCCTTCCTAGTAGACATGAATATAGGAATCACACACACTCATGACACACATAACTTGACTCTTAATTGGTAGTGACGTAATTAACAATACTTCTTCACACAGCCTCCGCGTTCGAGAAAGGCACATATATAGAAGGCATAGTAGATGAGAATTCATTTTTGTCTTCGCATATTAATGCAAGTGCAAATCAAATCGGAGGCACGCGGACCACAGGGTATAGATGCAGATCGTTCTTCCGCCGAACAGTTACTCCCATCTTCTCTGTCATGTCCAACCCATCAGGCTTCGCCCCATTCGGGAGCTCCCAATCGAAGTGGTAGACCAGTGCGGCGAGCACGATCTCCATGTTGGCTTGAGCAAACGTCATTCCAGGGCACATCCTCCGGTCCGCCCCAAACGGTATGTATTCAAAGTCTGTGCCTTTGAAGTCAATCGTGCCAGAATCGAACCTTTCTGGTTTGAACTCCTCGGAGTCTTCCCAGTGCCTTGGGTCTCTGCCAATCGCCCACGCATTCACCAACACCGTGGTACCTTTGGGTACATCGTACCCGAGGATTTTGCAAGGCTCACTGGCCTCCCTAGGGAGAAGCAATGGTGCGGCTGGATGCAACCTCATTGTCTCCTTGATGACGAGTTTGAGGTACTTGAGATCGGTCAAGTCATCCTCGGTCACTTTATGCTTTTCTTGGAGGTTTCCGCGTACTTTAGCTTGTACTTTCCGCATTACATTTGGGTTCCTCATGAGCTCTGACATGGCCCATTGAAGCGTGGTAGCTGATGTCTCGCTCCCAGCGCCAAATAAATCCTACAGTATGTCAATTTACACAATTTAGAAATTGCAAGTTCTTCTTGGCATTCAAGGATTTGTCTGCCCTTAAAAAAGCGAGACATCAAGTAGCAAATCCTAGAATAATAGCGAATATAACATATGCCATTTCTTGAATTCAGATTGAATCAAAGAAGAAAAAAAAACAAATTAAGATACCTACTGTGTTGCTAACTACTCTCTCGTTTCAAAATGTTTGACCTTTTTGAATCTATGTTGTCCAAACTTTTTGTTTTGATATAAATTTAGAAATAATTTCAACATTGACAACATCACATCCATAATACCAAATCTATCACCAAATGTACTTTTAAAACGTAGTATAATTAGTTTGTTTTAATACTCCCTCCGTTTCAAAATAGATGACTCAACTTTATACTATTAATTTTAATACAAAGTTAGTATAAAATTGGGTCATCTATTTTGAAACGGAGGGAGTACATGTTTTAAGTAAGTATAACACATAGTAGAGGACAAAGTATTCTGAAACAAATTAAGGAGCTAGTGCACTTACAAGTATGACTCCTTTGACCATTCCCATGGTAAGAGGCACGTCGAGGCCACCTTCCTTGCGGATCCTCAAGAGCGCGCCCACTAGGTCCTCTCCTTCCTCCACGTCGCCGTTCGCCGAGGCGGCGGCCCTCTGCTCCTCGTGTTGCTTGATCGCGTACTCCATGAGCTCGTAGCTCTTGCGGTGGTTCTCCTCCGCCAGCCGTGCCGTGCCGCTGATGAAGTTGGCGAGCCACGACGATGGGAAGAAGTCGCCAAGGTTGAACCCGGTGGCGAGCTTGACCCCTTCCTCGAGCGTCTGCAAGAACTCCTCCCGCCTCTTGAACCTGTCCCCGATCATGGCGCGCACCGCCGAGTCGGTGATGAGCACGGCGATCCGCTCGCTCAAGTTCACTGGCTCCCCAGGCGGCACCCCCGCGACGGCGGCCACGAGGCGGCCGACCTCGTCCTCCCTGATGTGGCGGAACGACTGCACGCGGCGCGCGCTGAGAAGCTCCAGGATGCAGATCTTGCGGAGCTGCCGCCACGGGGTGCCGTAGCGTGCGAATACCAGCCCTTCCCCTTCGGAGTTCATGATCTTCATGGTGGGGCTCCAAGGCCGTGTCGCAAAGACGACGTCGTGCGTCCGCATGATCTCGCGGGCGGCCTCCGGGGACGTGGCCACCACGACCGGCACCTCCCCGAGCTTGAGGTACATGAGCGGCGCGTCCAGCCGGCCCGCGAGGTCGGCCATGACACGGTGCACGAGCGGGTTACCGGCGAGGTGGTGCAGGCTGCCGATGACCGGCAGCCGCCATGGGCCTGGTGGCAGACGCACGCCGGGACGCTTGGTGTTGAGCCTGAGGTTGAGGAGCAGGAGAGGGAGGAGGAGAGCCAAGAAGAGGCAGAGGTAGTACGCCCATTGCTCCATGGCGGGGAGCCGCGTGTTCAGCTTCAGCTGAGGCAGTGTAGTGGAGTGACTCTAAGGCCGGTCTTATATAAGGAGGTTAATTACTTGAACGGAGAACACAAGTGTACTGCTCGCGCTGGCGCACATACGATCAAATTCAATTTTTTTTGTCGCGGGAACATACCAACAAATTCAAAAGCTGTGAGTATTGTCTGCCCATTGCAGCTAACTATAGATAAGCATTTTTTTTCTAAACACAGTACAGACGTAGGCACTCACAAATAGCGCGATGGCCAGGATCATTGTAAGGTGCAGATCCACCATTTAGACATGAGGAGCAAATAAGAAAAAAAATAACACACATAAGATAGAACATTCAGATTCCCGCAAAAATAAAAAAGATTAAAGGTAAATCCAATTCGGTCCCATGGACACCAAAATGCTTTATTTTTTAAAATGTCGAAATTATCCATTAAAATTAGATGTGTATATGGTCACATTCTAATGTTACATGCAAAATTTTAGGTGGAATGAAAGCCTTAGCATTTTGACCCGTGCAAAAATTAAAAGTAAATTAAACCCTAAATGTTACACTTAATAATTTTTCACCGACAAAGCATTGTTGTCCAATGTCGTATAAAAGTTATCAAACACGCTTGCTACACTACCATGAACATCTAAAAGAGAAATCAGTTTTCTTTAACTATTTATTCTGAACTTATTGTTCATTCGGGGGCATATGCCCTCTAGAGCCAAAATTATCCCTCACTGGCAATTTCGATTTACATAGCATGCATTGATATTATAGAGATAGCAATGATAAATATTTGACATATTAGCTTTGATTGAGGTCAAAGTTCATAAAGTTTAATCATGTTTATAGAAAACACTATGAACATCTACAATACAAATCTATACGATGTCAAAATATATTCAATGATGATATCTAATAATATTGATTTGGTGGTGTATATTTTTATATTTGTTTCTACCAACTTGGTCAAAGATTATGAAGTTTGACTTTAGACAAAGCTAATATGAAGAGTAAATAACCAAAGGCATCAACCAATTTGATAAACCATCGTCCTATATTTGCAAGTGCACTGCATAGTTTCCCCGCAAAAAAGTGTATTACATAGTTAGACTAATAGATTGTATAATCCACTCAAAGTTGGTGGTAACATTTTTGTGTATAGATCATATTACTTCAGACTTGAGTGACAAAAAAGTAAAATACATTGATCAGTTCCTAGCAGTGTATTGTGTTGGCACCAGCTAGCGGACCATGGTACGATCCACAAAGTGATGAAAGTATAGTGGCCTCAGCTAGCACGACAGATCGAGACATCGCAAGGATTTTCCGATCTCCTTATGGCATGCATTGTGGAGGTGGTAGGAGGATAGATCTATCACTTGCGATGAGGAGACACTAGGTCAGAGCGAACATATGGTATGAAGGAGAAAACAATTTCCATGAGACAAGAAAACAATTTTAAAACTAGAACTCACCACAACTACCATGTATCTACTCTCTTCGTCCCATAATACAAGATGTTTTTGCAAGCTAATATAGCTTGCAAAAACATCTTATATTATTGGACGAAGGGAGTACATGGCCTACTATAGTGGTGCTTGTCATCTAACATACTAAAAAGTTGTAGCATGGTCAGCTAGTAATTTTAGTTGTCTCATGTTGCTAACTATCAAACGGACACAGGGTAACATATAGTTGTTATGTTGTCTCGTGTTGGTAATTACAACATGACCATAAAAGCAAAGGGCGTCCATATCCCTTCCAAAAGCAATGTATATATGTGGGATAACCAGCTAACATTGCCCATCAACTAACCAGCTTCCTGATTGCTGGCAGCAAAGTGATCCGCATTTTTAGCTCTAAGATAGTCATCATGATAACAGTGGTGGCTATGCCTCTTGGTCATTTGGGCAATTAGGGGTGTAGCCGCGGGTGGCTCATGCTTGCCCTCTGTCGTTGGTAGCGGCAACACCGAGATCCGGGTCTAGGGGTTTGTGCTCATCGCGGTTGTTCTGGGTGTCTCATGGTCGCACTTGTGAGCTGCTGAGTGAAAACTCCGCGTTTTGGCGACCACGGTGGTGACACCCGCGGCTACCGCTCTTCTTTTGAGGACATCGTTGGTTCGTCTCTCCGTACCAGGGTTTCGGGTGAAAACCCTTGTCCATCTCGAACAACTGTGGCCACACTTTGCGTCGTTTCCCCTTTCGTTGGTGTTCTCGTGGAGCTTAGACGTCCTAGGCCGTGTTATGCCACTGTATTCATGCATACCTGTGTCATCTTTCGGCAACTTACTCGCATGCGTTTATGTTGTCCAGTTAACTCAAGAGCACCTTTGATTTATGCTTTGTCTATGAACCGGCGTGATAGCATATTGCCACAAGATATATGAGGTCTAGCATGACGATGCGTGCATTCCTTCTTTGGATCGTCTTCCGCGGAAATATACGTGGTGGGTGTTGAGCATCTTGTGGGGGCATGGCTCGAAACTTCCGACCAAGACAACAAGAAAATTGACGTCTTGTGAATTACGATCCTACTAGTGTATATGACAGAGGAGCCAACTGAGATCGTCATCGCTCTCGCGGGGTGACACTGACAGTCTGACACCAACGTACGAGGATGGAAATCTCAGAGCGGTGGCGACCTTCGCTCGGCACACCACAGGCAAAGCACGTTCGGCGACAAGGTGTCGCGCACACTGTTTCGGCAGCGCGCCGAACAGATCTCGCCGTCGTACACAGGTCCAGGCCGCCTGGACCGGACCAGGAGAGGATCTCGGTCAGAAGACGTCAGAGATGACATTTTGCGCTCGCAATATAGGGTCAGTTCTTTTGGGCGATTCTACCAAAATCGTTCCCCTCCTCAGCTTCTTCCAGAATAACCACTCCATATGTTTTTTTACAATCCTAATTAATTAGACCTTAACTAGATAGGATTGTAAAAAAAATATGAAGTGGCGATTCTGAAAGAAGCTGGGGAGGGGGTTGATTCTGGGAGAATCGCCGAAAAGAACTGGCCCATACAGCGGCACCAGCCGGGCTGATCCTTCAGATCGACGAGCTCGTTATGTTGCACGCGTGCGTCGTCTGCACTTGTGTAGATGAGAATGGCCTTCTTGGACGCACACGGCATGAATTGTCAAAAAAAAAAAAAATTATGTCCCAAGTCCCAACTTGTGTTCTGTTAGGATAACGCATCATCGTTACAGCGACACCGAACCGGCTGCTCCACGCGCTCGCACGATCCCTATCCACGTCTCCGTCTCGGCCGGCAGGCCGGCCGGAGCCCTACCGATATCAGCTCTGCTTCTGTGCGTTTTTTTTTTTGAAACAAGACTTTTGTGCGTATTGAGCACGGCGGCATCTATTTGCTATGAAATCTTATCGATGCGGACGTACCATTTCTTCTCTCTTTTAGGATAACAGGGAGGCTCTCCGTGGCTCCATTACCACAATGAAACCAACACGAGTTCATGCAACAGCTTTTTTTTTTGAGGCAGTTCATGCAACAGCTCAAGCGAGCAGTTCAAACGTGCGCGCACACACAGAGAGAACTGTAGTTCTATTAAGCGAAATGAACATAAGATGTCTGACACGGGACGACACGACACATGTGTCGGCCGGCCCGCGTGCTTTTCGACCTGGGTTGTTTTTGGCCTTTTGCATCAATAGATTGGTAAAAAGGTTCAAAAAAAGACAGGCCGGTCATCGGTCTGATTCAAAATCAGGATCGGAGTTTGACGCCCACAAATGCTAAGGATCACCCATAACCGTAGGAAGATGGGGCGGCCTCATCATAGATCGAGCAAAGCGAGCGTGTGGCCGATTTAGGAACCTTTTTGAAGGTATGCTAAAAAAAGGAACCTTTTTGAAGGGTCTGTCCAATTTTGGGAACCTTCTAGAAGATTCATGAACTTGTTCTTTTTCTTTCCTGGCATTTTGATTTTCTTCCTGATTTTTTTCCCACGTTCTTTTTTCTTTTCTTAATTCATAAATATAAAAATTTATTCGAATATCATAAATTGTTCATTTACTAAAAATGTTTGAGATTTTAAAAAACACATTTTCAGAAAATTTTCAGAACCTTGAAATTTAGTTCAAAATTCCATAAAATTGTTTGCTTTTTCAGAATATCATCAGGTTTATAAAAATTGTTCACGTCTTAAAAAAATGTTCACAACTTCAAAAATATGTTCATAATTTTCAAACTTTGTTAGCAATTTCATATAACGTTTCCAAATTTCAAAAGTCGTTCACTTGAACATTTTTTGAATTCACATTTTTTTGGATTCACAGTCATGTTCAAATTCGCGAACATTTATTGAATAATGAATTTTTTTGAATTCACAAAAAAATGTATTCACATACATTTTTAAATCCATGGACACTTTTTAAACCCCGTGATCAATTTTTGAATTCACAAATATATTTTCAAGTTTGTAATTTTTTTGATGAATTCATGAACATTTTTGAACCCGCGACATTTTTTTCAAATCTGCAAATACTTTTTTTCAGAGTTTGTAAATAATTTTTTAAATGGGCGAACAGTTTTTGAATCTGTGACTTTTTTCAAATCTGTGGACAATTGTTTTTGAATTGGTAAACAATTTTTTAAATGGGCGAACATTTTTTAGTTCGTGAATATTTTTTGAAATACTGGGAATTTTTTTGATAATTGCTTAGTTCACGAACATTTGTGAATTCATGCTTTTTAAATTTATGAACATTTTTTCAAATCCGCAAAAAATATTGAGTTCGTGAACGTTTCTTGGATTTTTGAATACTTTTATTGATGAAAATTAGTTGTGAAAACTGTACTAGGATAGAGATTGCGTCTGAGTCGTTTGATCCAAATCAAATCCGACTGTCACAGAGGAGGTGGATGCGCGCAGAAACATCCGCCGGTTGAACGATGGCGTTAACTTACAAAAAAATGAAATGAGAAAACACGAAAAAAATAACATACGTGCACTCGCTCGCGGGGCCAGGCGCATCTCGCGAGTTCCGACGCTGGAGCCCGTGAGCCCGGTCCACTCACAGTCAATCAATAGGCTCCGCCATGGCTAGGACTGTAATTTCCACGCCCCCAAATTTCAAAATTCCCGCACCTTCCGCGCGTGCTGCGGAGCGTCCGTTCGAAACGGCCAGTGCTGAACTGTTGACGCACCTGCACTTGTGGCCAGCACCGTTACTGAAAAATGGGACCGGATGGTGCACTCCCGATTTCTCCTCCACTGGGTCTGACAGACCAAGTGTGAGAAAAGTAGGAGGCTGACCACTGCACGGGGAATCACAATCTTAACACCCCTCCCCATTTTAGCCTCCGCATCTGTCGAGACTCGAGACCCACGCTCCCAGTTCAAATCTTG